ATTGGCTCAACTCATCGCAAGTACCAGATAATTTTCTCAGTGCCACTGCAGCAGTTGAGAAGAGGTTATTTAATGGTGCCCAACACAAAGCAGCAATAGTGTGTACACTAACTCCTTACTGCAGGGTCAGTATTATCTAGAACACAGTTATATGGGCTATAATAAATAGTAGCAATGGGCTGATGGTAGGGAGTTCTGCCAAAGACAAAGTCTGGCTATTGATAGCTAGTTATATTATAGCTAATATACACAGGGTAGGCAGAGGTATCAAACTCAAGTGGACTGGAATGGCACATCCCCGAAGCAATGGATGCCCAGATGGTACATTCATTTGTATGTGTGTGTGTGTGTGTGTGTGTTCCACTTACAATTCATAACTTCTAAAATGCACTTCACTCTTTACACCTGGCTTCTAATTTAAGAGTGATGGTGTTGATATTGTAAGTTATGCAAACAACTGGTGGTTGATTGCACTTTGCCCTATAGCGAGATGGATATATAAATCATTGTTTTTACAAAATTAGATAATTGCGATTACACCAATATGCAGTATAATCAGCTTTTTTCGGTGGGTATCATGGTTGTCCTCTAACGATTCCCTATCGTGGCTCCATCTTAATAGATTCGGTTTAGGCTTGTTTTAGAGACCACAATTTTGCTTACTTTATTGATGTTTTCAAAACCCTTTAAAAATGATGGTTTTGATGTGCAATGAGTCACGACTTCAATACACTTTTATCATATGAACTGGCTGCTGACACACTACTCTGCTGCACAGTATAGGGTACATTTATGTTATCATCATAGGATAACTACCATTGAATTGTCCAACCTTGGTGCTTTTTTGTTTTTTTTCCCAGCTTCAAAGAATGAATTGGGTCACTGAGAGTTCAGTTCCGAAGCCTGGCAAGATGACATAGTCTTGATTTACTTCTCTTTCATCTTAGGATAAGTGATCATGTAACTAATAGCAGGGTGGAGTTGACAGCTTCACAGAGAAATAGTTACCTCTCAGGGCTTTGGCAGCTGAATTTTGAACTAGTTGGAGTTTGGACCATCTTTAAAGGCAGTCCTACATAAAGTGCTACTCTGAATGCAATTAGAGAATGGAACACTGTGGCTGCAGTTGGTATACCAACCAAAGCTGAAAAAACACATACCTGGTATTGATGCTATCTGGGCTTTCCCAACCAGCACCAATGCAAGAGCACTCCCAAACTGCAGATATTGAATTTTTTTTGGGGGGGGGAAACACTGTGGTGATCACACAGGGTCCCCGGACATTTCACCATCTATTGATCCCTGTGCCACCACTTGATTTCTCGCTGCCACCACCCAGGCTCTACCTGGCACAATACTGAGTTCAGTCAGGTTTAAATTGGGACATAAACTTCTGTTTATTTATTGCAGTTTAACAAGCTTGTGGTTTCATAAACGGTATCAGTCAATTACAATCATAGGGTGCCTATCCAGACCTATAACTTCCACTACCTGCTCTCACTCACTAAACCACCTCTCAGATATTTACTTGTCTTCCTAGCTCCTAACTGTTCCTGACTCAACTTATTTCGCTACACTAACTCAACCTACCCAAAGACTCTATCCCAATTCACTCCCACTCCAACCAACCACCCAACTCCCAACAAACTCCTCCCAGAGCTGGTTTTATAGTCCCTCTGACTCCACCCCCCTGGGTTCTGATTGGGTAACTTGTTTAACTAATTCACCTCCAGCACTCTCATATGTTAACGTCATAGGCACTATCTAGAAATAGCGGTAATCCTTCTGAGCTGGAATCTCCCAACCCACAGCATTATCTTGCCTGGAGTTAAGATCAGCTTGTTTGCCCTCATCTATACAAGAATTGTCTCCAGGTAGGTTTAGGGTTTCAGTAGTGTGACTACTAGTGGTTGGACAGTGTTCTCGAAGCTACTAACATGAGTTTGACAAATTGCGGGAGGCAGTGGAAGACAGGAGTGCCTGGCATGCTCTGGTCCATGGGGTCACGAAGAGTTGGACACGACTAAATGACTAAACAACAACAAGTGTGACTACTATTAGTAAATGTGTAGGCTTTAAAAATATATATATCCAGGAATTCATGAAAGTAAGATTTATTTTCTCAGAGACAGCAAACTAGGATAGATATCTCTAGAATGGATAACATAATACAGTATCAGGAAAAGATGTTCTTGCACAGGTCAATCTATGTAAGCAATTTCCCCATTTCAGAGTCTCGTGTAAGCAATTTCACATATTCACTTATGGCTATAGACATCTTTTTTAAGTGTCACATTTTAAGCATTTAAAAATACAAAATACATTTTTACGATTTTTTTAGTATCCACAGGAGGACATTCAGTGGCAGATTCTGTTTCTCATATGCTGCTTGCCGTTGGATCCACCATTGTTTTTATTGGACTCTTGGGATACTTAGGAAGCATTCGAGGAAACAGGTGTTTAGTAGCTGTGGTAAGTATAACTTGTGAAAATCCTTAGCACAAAGTTGTTGCTTGCAACACACACTTAGCTTTCCCCACAACAATCCTCAAAGTGGTTTAACCTTTGAGATTGTTCTGCATCCCAAAGCTGATAGAGTGATACAAAATGCACACTAATTGACGGGATCTTACTGCTTGTACACAGGGATATATCCTTAATAGAATACTGTATTTCAAGTGTTCCAGCACAGAGAGGTTGACTGCTTAGCCTGCAGAGGAGTACTGTACAGAAAAGGAGCAAAAACTGTTTAGATTCAGGGCAAAGTCTAGAGAAGCTGCTTGCCAATTTCACTTTGGCAATAGCTCCCACTCAAGTCTCAAGGCAAAGTCAGAAGTCTTACTACAAGGGGCAGTAAAAATTGTTCAGAGTCTTTTCCCACTTTGTCTTGGAACTGGTCAGATATTCATCTACAATGCAAGTCCCTTCTTCACCAGGTAAATTCTGGACTCGTTGGGAGGGAAGTCAGATGCTAAGATCAGTACTAAAATCTCATCAAATATCTCATCGTCTTTTAAATAGAGCTTTTGATTCCAGTCTATCTTGGATTTAAAATCATTTTTACATTATGAAACTGTTCTTAATCTTTTGTATATATGATCCCCCCCGTTGATTAGGATGGTGTGTGTGTGTGTAAAATCAGAAGTGATTCAGAATCCTAATCATGTTGTTGTTTAGTCGTTTAGTTGTGTCCGACTCTTCGTGACCACATGGACCAGAGCACGCCAGGCACTCCTGTCTTCCACTGCCTCCTGCAGTTTGGTCAGACTCATGTTTGTAGCTTCGAGAACACTGTCCAACCATCTCATCCTCTGTCGTCCCCTTCTCCTGTGTCGTCCCCTTCTTCTCTTTCCCAACATCAGGGTCTTTTCCAGGGAGTCTTCTCTTCTCATGAGGTGGCCAAAGTATTGGAGCCTCAGCTTCACGATCTGTCCTTCCAGTGAGCACTCAGGGCTAATTTCCTAAAAATGGATACGTTTGATCTTCTTGCACACCATGGGACTCTCAAGAGTCTCCTCCAGCACCATAATTCAAAAGCATCAATTCTTCGGCGATCAGCCTTCTTTATGGTCCAGCTCTCACTTCCATACATCACTACTGGGAAAACCATGGCTTTAACTATACGGACCTTTATAGTCATCATATAATTAAATAAATATTTAAAACCCGGGGAAGATAAAAATGTCTTTGGCATTAAAAAAGAGAGTAACAAAGAAGCCCAATGAGCCTTCAAAGGAAGAGAGTTTCAAAAATGGGTGACACCACAGAGAAGGCCCTTACGCTTGCTTCTTTCCTTAACTAAGTGGGCAGGGTCACCCAGAGGAGGGCTTTTGAAGAGTATTGCAGCAAATGAGTGTGTTGGTAAGGGGTAAGGCCCCAGGCTATGCACAGTGGCAAACGTTGGGGTCTCAAATTTCAGTGGTGCCCTGCGATGCCAAAATTCTTCCCCTGCTTCTTGTACTCCATTCTAAATAATAGCTGAGGCAACCCCTGGCACCCCTGAGGCTCAGCACCCAGTGCAGCTGAACTGCTAAAACACTCCCCTAAATCTGTCTCTGCTATGTAGCTGTTAAAGGTAACAAAAAGTTAAATTGCTTGTCATCTGTGATTTAATGGGCTGTATTCAGTGGGTGTCCATAATATTCATGCAACTAGGCTACAGCATTCTAAATCACAATGACTTCCTCAGTTTATTACATTTTCTACACAATATTGTCATTTGAGCATTAGAGAAATGTGATTTCCCTGAAGCAGATGTGAGAGAAAACAGCTGAAACCTGTGCAACAAATGAGTAACAACTGTACAATTGTTGCATTATAAACATTTAGCAAAAGAGCAACTTACTGTTTCAATCTATCTGGTCATGCCTTGGACTCTACAAAACAACAACATGTCTGACAATGACACAAGAAACTATGTGTGTCCTAAAGGGTGTTCAGTGGAGGTAAACTTCATTTAAGACCTTTAAACAGCTTGGTTAGAAAACAAAGGCTCTGCCCAGATTTCTAGCTGGAAAGGAAGATTGTTTCTTTGTGGAAGCATTTCTAATACTTTACGAAATCTCTGTAAAGAAATGAATGTATGTACCAAGGTGCTAGGATATCTTATGGAGATGCTCATACTACTGCTTTGCTTTTCACTGCACAACATTTACTCAGTCAAGAATAAGGTTCTCTTTCTTTGCTGCCAGGCTAAGATTTGGGTTCAGAACACACTCATTGACAAATGAAGTCATTGCATTGCATTGCATTGTAAATATATACATGCTTGGGGAAAGGCAAAATGCATCCCTCAGCATGTACACAGGATATGGTATCTTGAAATCTGAATTTCCAATTGGAATGCTATAGCTTAGAGGTAGAGCATGTGGAAAGTTTCAGCTTCATTTCCCAGCATCTCTATGTTGAACTGGGAAAGTTCTCAGGAGATGTACTACCAGTCGATGTAGATAATTCGGAGCTAGATGGGCCAAGGGGTTGACTCACTATAAGGCAGCTTCCTATATTCCTTCTACATTCCTAACATGATAGCGCAATTCATCACTCAGCAGCTGGTGCTCAGCTATAAAGCTGGTATGTTTTACAATGATGACTCATTCCTATAATACACATAAATTCTTCTTGCAGGTAGCAACATTTCTAGTAACTGAAATTCCTTTCTATATTAATCACACAGAGCTTATTATAATGCCATTTGTGCAGCTTTCCTAGTAATAGGTTTATTTTTATTTTCAGTACATGGGTCTTCTTGTCCTTGTCCTTGTTATCCAATGGCAATACTTGGGGTCATATATACAGGAAAGGAAATGGTATGTACCTATTATTTACCCAAAAGTATATTGTGGCCAAGTGCACAGTGCCCTGGAACCATCCTACGCATGATCATGCTGAAGCATTCCAAGCATTCCACATCATTTACTTGTCTCAAGGGTATGTATGTATCTGAAAAAGAAACCTTAACACAGAGAAAGATTGCTTATTTATTTATTTGCACCATTTATACCGTGTATATGTATATGCCAATGGGGGTATGAGGGGAGAGATAGTACCTCTGGTGGGGACACACCATTCTGCTTTTGGGGTAGTTTGTCCACCTTTGGGTAACTTGTCCACCCTACACTCAGCTCTCACCTGTGGCTCCTGGAAGCTGTCAGCATTTGACAGTGGCCACACCCCAGGAGTGGCTTTGACTGACTGGCTGAACCAAGTGAGGATAGCTGATGGGTCTCAAATCCTTAGTGATTTAAAGGTTTCTCCTGCATGCAAAGACAGGCTTCAGCAGATTGAATGGATGCAACTAAGAGTGGATACAGTGGTCAAGAAGGTGGTTTCTGCATGTGTTGTAGAGAGAAGTGAGGGGCAGATACAGACCTTCCAAGTGTCCCTATTTTTCAGGGACGTCCCTGATTTAGAGAAACTGTCTCAGTTTCTGATTTGATCCTGGAATGTCCTGCTATTCCTTAGGACGTTCTCCTGTTTACATTGGAGAAATGTTGGAGGGTATGGAGCTATCCGACCCCTGAGCCATCTGAAGGCAATCCTGTATGGGGATTTTAAAAAATATTTAATGTTTTATTATGTTTTTATATATGTTGGAAGCTGCCCAGAGAGGCTGGGGCAAGATGTGTGGGGCATAAATAGTAAAAATTATCATTATGGAATGGAACGTCCCTATTTTCATTAGAGAAATGTTGGAAGGTATGTGGATGGGGCTCACCAACCTAGGAAGGTAGCCCATCTAAGAGAAGGAAA